ATATATATATATATATATATATATATATATATATATATATATATATATATATAATATACATACATATATATATATATATATTAAATACTAATAATAATAATTAGATGCATATCAGTCACCAGGAACACATGATGTTTTATGTTTCCGTAAAGTGTTTGAATGGTGTAATAGGTCAAAGAACATGAAAGCACGATTCATCACTCTGTACACGTGGATGACGAGAGTTCTTTGCCTTGTTTTTTTGGTCCTACACTTTTCAAAATTTCCCAGAAGTCAGATCATTAATCCGATTCCCAGTCCTGTCCTATTGTAGCACTCAACCAATAAACCCAGGGATTAATAAAGTGTCACTGTGCGAAGACTTGGGATAGTCAGCCCTTTCCTTTATGAAAAAAAACAAAACACGAGTCTATTACACCATTCAATTTTTTAATTTTCGTTCATATTTAAAATATAATCTACAGTGGAACCCACTTATCTCGACCTCGGTTAACTCGCCAACCTTGTTATGTCGACGTTTTAAAAGAGGAACCGCCAAATTCTCTCTTTGTCTTAGCATTTTCTGCTCGGTTATGTCGATTATTTTATGTCGCCGAACCCTTTATCTCGAGCACAAAAAGTGGCCGAATTGGTCACTTAACCTCGGTTATCTCGATCCCCATGACCAATCGCCGGCCTTTGAAAATGATATACAACAGAAACGTGCTTATTGCAAACTAGTCATTTAAATGAAATGACAATATCGTCCGCGCAATTAACTTGACACAGCAAGAAGAAATGAGCGAGTCGCTTGCAAACAAAAGAGAGAGGTCGCAGTACCTGTTCTATTTATAGCGAACCCGCTTGTCCGCTAACAGGCTTCCACGCGTTCTTACACGTTGATTTTTTTTTGTTTTTTGTTTTTCAAACCCAGATCCGTATTTGAAAAAAAAAAACTGAACTGGCGAATCAGGAGCGAGAGAAAATAAAAACTCACGAATCCGGAATAATCCGGAGAAGTGGCACCCCACAAATGTTTTGTGTTGTTAGCAAACCTGTATGTACATTTTTATAGCTTGCCGGTCGCTTCATCAAAGAAATCGTGGTAACGCTGTTGCGTAAAAAAAATAAATAAATAACTCCAAAAAACATGTGCGCGTACATTCTCATTTATAAACGCACATCATGTGCATAAATAAATTTCAAGCAAATGCTAATATAATTGCCGCCATATTGGTTTTCCGTTATCTCGATCATCGGTTATCGCGACACTTTTTGGAAAACCCTGAGGCCGTCGACATAACCGGGTTTGACTGTACCAACATTTAAATATTTTCTAAATGTATTCCTTTATATTTTCATTTTTTCCTTTTTCTTCAAAGTACGACACTCAGTTGATATAAAAGTGTAACACAGATTGGATTTGGGGAAATGCTTTTGGTAAGAGCGGAAAATCTGAAATGACATTGAGGGCAGTGGTTACAAACCTTCCTAATGCCACGACCCGTTAAATACATTTCCCCATGTTGTGGTGACCCCTTACCATAAATTTTTTTCGTTGCTACTTTATAAATATGCATTTTCCTATGGCCTTTGGCGACCCTTGTGTAAGGGTCGTTCGACCCATGTTGAGAACCGCTGATTTATGAGAACATTTTAAAAAAAAATAATTTGGGGTTGAGGATAGGACTAACTGTTTAATTTCTTTGTTAAGATGTGTAAAAAGAATTTGAGACGCAATGCGTTATTTTTCACTCTACATTTAGGACTCTTCGGCGATCTCATAAGGCTGCTTATGACACAATTCTAAATCTACACACATTTCATTTTTTAAACTATGTGCTAAGTCTAACTGCACAGCTCTGAATCTACACAGATTTAATACTGCAGCCAACTGAACAGTTCTGACCCTACATAGATTTAATACTGCAGCCAACTGAACAGTTCTGACCCTACATAGATTTAATACTGCAGCCAACTGAACAGCTGTGAATCTACATAGATTTAATACTGCTCCCAACTGAACAGCTGTGAATCTACATAGATTTAATACTGCTCCCAACTGA